CCCCTTCCTCGGAATCGGTGGAGTGTCACATTTGTTTGCTTTTTTTTCCAACATCCCAGTATGCGCCAACAATCCAGTTGACACACTAGCCGTGAGTTTGCGCGGTTCCGGTTTTCAGAAATTTTTTACATCATCTCTTTTCTTTATTTCGTTCTTCCGTTCTTTTCGTTTGAAAACTTTAAAAAAAAGTGAAATTCAATCATCAAAAGCTTTCAGAATGCCAGCAGTGCCATCAGGATATTCAGCAGTCCCTCAAGGAAACCAGCCATCCTGTTTCACAAAAGTAAGTCTTTTTCAAAAAACTGTTTGAGTGTTCTGCCCACGAGAAAGCGATAAATCTTATGAAAAAACACTGCCTACGCTGGAAATCGAGCTCAATTCAGTGAATTTTTCGAACTAAAGATTTATAACTTCTTCCGGTTTTTAGTGAAACCCTTCAGAAGAGGAAAAATTATTGAAATGTCAAATGAGATGCAGAACTTTAAATTTGTGACGTTAGTTTCCGGAAAACCCCAAGAACGATTTTATAATCTTGTCCAATAGAAGGACACATAGTTCTATGTAGATGGAGCGTTTTCTCAACAAAACATTTTTTCCAGATCCGAATGGGATTGATGATGGGCGCGATGATTGGTGGAGCAACAGGCATTCTTCTCGGTGGATTCATGGGATTCAGAGCAGGTCTTCGTGGAAAGGAACTTCTTTTGCAGTGCGGAAAGACTGTTGCACAGTCCGGTGGATCGTTCGGCGTCTTCATGGGTGTCGCTCAAGGTCTCCGATGCTGAATGTGGTCTCGATTGTTTTCATGTTTATCTCTTTTCTTTTTGCCCCGTTTCCCTGTTTTTCTGACGATAGGTCTTTCATAGTTAATCAAAATATAAACAATCAGATTTACAAAAGGAAAATTCTTTCATCAGAATCGAAAACAATCTAAATATATCCAGCAAAAGGTATTTTTGGGAAACAACAACGGTCTCGAAATTTATTAAGGGTACACGAAGTGCACAAGGAAAAAACGTACATACTCAACATCTCTCATCGTCGCCAGAATGAGATCTATTATTCGTGTGTGTTTGTGTGTGTTTAAGGTGGGGTGTCATTAAACTGATTCAAGAGAGAAACGGGAGAAAAATTGGGTCTGAAAATCGGGAAATTCAAAATGGAAGATGTAGGAGAAGAAGACTGAAAAGTGTTATTACAATTAACACGTTTATGGTGAAACGGGGAGGAAGAGGAAATACATTGTGATCTGATTAAAATAACTAGAAGACATTTAGGCCATCGGATGAAGAAGATCAACCCGCCGCTCTCTCAACTGGGACACTGGAAGAAAAAAGGAAATTACTGCTCGAATGGAGCACTCCGTCCGAATCGTACAAAAGTCTGTCCTCGCTTTCCAAATCTCACGAACGTCTGTGCTCTTTTTCCGAATCGAACGAAGGTTTGAGCTCTCTTTGCTGGTCGTTCGGCGAACAGGGATCCCTCTTCTGGAAGTGCTGTCATCTCATCAGCGGAAGCTACTCCGTATTGGGATGCGTAATCTGAAATGAGAAGAAAGAGAAATTAACGTCATCTTTTTTTGTGGATGGTGCTGGTGGTGATGGATGATGTCTAAACCCGGGAAGCCTCTTCGGTAGAAGGCATGAGGAGGTGAGAGGATGAGGATATAGGTTATTTTGATGTGCCGGAAGAAGTTTTAATTAAAGTTGTGTGTGTGTGTGGGGGAATGAGGATGAGATGCCTGAATGCCTTTTTTTTCTCCTTTTTTCTATCTTTTTTTGCCTATCCTGCTTGATGTCACAGATATGAGAATTAAAAAGAGGGTGGAAGAGAGAAAAGGACAGGAAAATTATAAAAAGTGACTTTCTATGACACTAGTGGGGGAGGAAGTATGCTAATGACGGAAGAATAAGGAAGGAACTCTTCAGAGTGTTTCCTCGTCACGCGAAGAAAAAGTAAACCTTTATAGTTGCACAATGCTAATATTATGACAAAAGAACATGCTTGGTGTGAGCGGTAACGCGTTTGATTTTGAAACTGGCATCGCTGGTTCGAACCCATCCCCCAACATTTCCTTTTTCTCAGTTTTTTTGAACAGTTACTATTCGTTAAAGCTTTTTTCCGCTCTTTAATGAGATCCCTGCAATTTTATACTCCATTTGCAAGAAAATGAGATCTCGTCATCTATTCCGAACACGAAAAAAAATTTTTTTCTGCAGGTGGGTGAGGAAGAAAAAAGGAAGTTTCGGATTCTTCAACATATGTCAATTCTTTTCTTCCGCCGAGCTTCGATCGATCAAAGTCAGACGAAGTTTCACTGACGAAAATTGTTTCAGCTGTTAGCTCATACTTTAGAAAAACGTAATAGTTTCCTAGGCCCGAGTAGATGATTTAAAAAATATGCTAACAGTGATCTAAATTATTCTATCAAGTCACTCAATTGCTAGATTAACGATTAAGAAATATTCTTCCAGACAAGTGCCTGATCAAACGAACACCACTAAATCATCATCCTCTCACTAATTCTAAATCCTTTTTGAAATATTTTTGGGCTTCCCAAAAAGTACAGAAGGCTCTGATTTTGACACTGTCTCGAACTCTTTTTTATGACTCACCGACTGGAAGAACAGCCGCTGAAGACAACTGAATGAGGAGCAGAAGGACGGCGATGATCGAGGAGAATTCGAAACCGGACAACGACATTTTCATTTTTGCACACGTGGCAAGTTGTATGTGTATTACCTGAAAACAGAGATACAGTGGTTCGGAGGAAAATTATGTTGGTAAAAGAGAAGAAATTGAAGACGTCAGGAAAAGGATCTGCATTAAGGATAAAAAAGAAGTTGGAAAACAAAGAAGAATAATTCATGAATAATCATTCTATTTCATACAGTTGTCAGATATTCAAAAGGTAAAGAATGGCCAGGAGGAGTACTTCTCTTCATTCTTTTTTGGCCGAATGGTGCTCCTCTTCCCAAGCACAGAGGCAAGAAAAGTGGGCGGAGCCTTGAGAGGGAGGGGAGCACAAGCACACAGCTTCGGCGATGACGTTGGATGGCGGAGGGGGAGAAGACGAGAGAAATGGGCGGAGCTTGCCCAGGTTTCGAAAGTTGTGTGACGTGGCAAAATAAGGAGAGAACATTAGGATCAGCTGGTGGTAGAGGAACGGTTTGACGTGGGGGAATTGAATCTCAAAGATCTATGGAAAGGCCAAGGTGGGCTATGGGCAGACGGTATGGGCAGACTATCTTTGCAATTTTAGGACATTGGTAGCAGACCTATTCTGGGAACTCCTAACGAAAGAGCTCATGCCCACAGTTCAAAATTTCAATTCTGGCTAGGTCAGGCAGTAATGATTTAAAACAACGCAAGATTTGGAACTTTTTTTGGGACAATTTCTAGAAATTTAAAAGTGTTCTTATTGTTATTTTGCTTTATTTTACACCTTCTAAATGAATTCTGGTTAGACAAGTCATACAATTTTTTTGCAAATTCAATTTCCAGGAAATCGAATTGGACCTGATTTATTCTTGGAGCAAATCAGAAATCCGATCTTCCAATTTTTAAAATTTTCAGCATCGTCTTTAAAATATTGTAATCTTTGAGATCCACAGTGGTTTCAGAAAACAAATACAGGTGAAAATTGTTCAGGTGGATTTTTAGATCAGTTTGATTTGTGCATTTTAAAGAATTCCAGCTATTGACCTATTTATATTTAATTCAAGACGACGGATTATAGCCCTTGTGTCCACCCACAAAAAAAACATGTCCATCAAATCAAAGGATTATCCTTTTGATACATTTTATATAATCACATCATATTCTTCTGCTAGAAAAAGGAGAAGATTGTTCTAGTTAGGTAGTTTCGCTTTCGCAGAAAAATAACTTACGTGCACTTCTTCAATTAAATATGAGCTAGATAACAGACTAAAAAGTGAGAAGTATATGTGAGATCAAGTGAAAAGAAAAAATAAGTAACGGTTCGACGAATGTTCCATTCTGTGAAAAACAGCAGAAGGCAAATATTTAAAGGAACAGGGAGCCCCCCCCCCCCCTCCATAAATTTAGAATTCAGCAGTTTCCCAGATTCAGATTCACAAATGATGGTTCAGGACCAGGATGTGCTCAAGAACTTTTTTCGCTGACTCACATCAGATTTTTCTTATTCTTCCAGATAATGACCCATTCAAGTTTTACGACCAAATTTCTGAACTACCGTAATCCAGAATTGCTTTGAAAGAACCCCCATAAATAGGTTCTACAAAATCTAAATAAATTGGAATTTTTTCTTCTCGAAAAAGAAAAAAAGCTAAAATTCGGGAAGAGCGTATTTCTCAGTGTCCCACATTATCAAGTGGAGCGTGTAGTACATGGAAAACGAAGGAGAAGGAGGGAAAAGTAGTAAGTCTCTAATATGTATAATTGAAAAATGGGATGAATGAAAACGGAAAGAGCAATTTTTAATTTGTGTAGTTTCTCTCGTGTTCATTTGCATGTTTAGAGATAAATTAGTTGTGGAATAGAACTTCAGGACAAGGTATTAGGTTGTTCGGAAAGTCCTTTCCATTTTTGATCTGTTGTTTTCAAACCTTGTTTTTTTGAACGGGGTGAAAGCGAGGAAGCTGTCGTTTTATCAGTATATTGGTGCGGTCTAATAGTGTCTGCACCCCAAAGGAGATCATTCCCCCCGAGATATGCTCACCGTTTTCGGCTCTATTAATTTCCATTTTTGGACTATCATTTTAATTGTATTTATATCTGATCTTAAATTAGCTGAAATCGATCGCCAACTAGTAGCGGTTAACAACGCAAATGCACCCATTCGAACTACCATCACAACCTGGATTCAGTCATTTGAAAAACGGGAATCCTTGTTTGACGAAAATCCCCCTTCAAAAAGGAAAATGGGCTTAGGTTTGGATACATTAAAAGCCGGGAAAGAAAGGGACCCTCCTCAAACTGTGTGTGATATATGAAGTACATCAGTGGCAAGCCTTTCGTTAAAAAGCCGTAGATTGAAAACTCTCGGCACAGTCAAAAAAGTGGGAAGAAATTGACCCCATCTTTTGGCTCAACACAACTTTTTTCCCCGGGTGGGCACCTGTTTGGATCTTCTCATCCTGCGTTGCACACATGAATGTTGGAATCAAACCATTGCTAGTGGTGATAAATGGGTAATGTGTGATTACAATAAGCAACATGCCATGTGGGTTGACAAAGGCACTCAACCACCAGACGTCTCGAAACGTGAAATTCGTGTTAAAAATGGGATGTTGTCGGTATGGTGGTCTACCAAAGAATGGAGTATTAGGAGCTGCCTGATAATAGTGTCACTTTTACGACCCATACCTATTCTTGTCAGGTGACATAACTCAGACTTTATGTGGATCATTGATAACGATGGTCATTACATCCAATTTATCCGACATCGTTTTGACCTATTTTACTTTGAATGTATCTGACGCTAAAAATGGAAAGTACTTTCCGAACAACCTAATATTTTATAGTTTTTGAGTTCCATTTGTATTAAGTAGGTTCGTAGCTGTACAGTGTATAGTGAACTGGTACAAACTACAAAATTAGTCTAAACTTGAATTTCCAGGTTCTTGCTAAAAGAGAAAAGACTGAAAATCAAGAAGGATAACTAGATGATCGAATCAAGAGCTAGTTTTGAACATATCTCCATATCCACATCTATGATCTTGAGGTTCAAAGAACTAGGAAAAATGAGGGTGGCCTGCTAAAATTAAATTTTCACATAAGCAGTTTCAAACAAACACTTATAAAAGATTCGGAAAACTGAATTTTTGATTTTATTAAGTTATTAAATACCTAGGATGTTTTTCAGCCTGTGAGTTTTCAAAAGTTTTTGCAAGCTTCTAGACACGGTTATCATAAAAATCAATTATATCTACCGTATTTTCTCTAATAGAAGTCAACCCAAACTGTCAACTTTGAGCTCAATTATCTCGATACCTGTAAATTATATCAAATATTTGTCAATTGATAAACTATCATTCTTATAATAAATAAATGAAGTTGCGTCTCTTTATTTCTCACTTTGTCCGAACATCATTTATCATAATATCTCCAATATTTTATCAGGTGGCGGATTGTTGATATCTTTCACAAGAATCGACAAAATTTCAGACGCCTATAACCATGTTACAAACGCCTTTCGTAACATTTTCCAGATTTCTTTTTTCTCTCTTTTTAAGATCTTCCGCCTATTTTTTTGCACTTTTCCATTTTTCCTTTTTTCCTCCTATTATCTAAAAAATGACGCACCTAAAATGATTTCGTGAAGAAAAGGCTAAAAAGTTCCTCCTTATTTTTTACGAAAAGCACTTTGGATTTAAACCCGTTCGAGCATTAAAGTGAAAGTGGAGAAGTGCAAAACCACTTTGCATTTTTTCGTATTTTCTTAAAGTTGAAAATGGAGAAAAAGAAACAGATTGGTTTCGTATTTCTTTTTGGAGAACACAAACCACCAAAAACCTACATAAAGAACTTTAAAAGGGGGATTCTGAAGTCCGTGCAGAAGTTAAAAAACCAAGAAGGGACAACCGGAAACTTGAAAAGTGAAACAAATAGTTTAGAAATATGAAACCAAGTTTTCGAAACTTCCGAAAGAACTACTTTTTTTGGTTTTAAAATGAATCATGATAGACTGACGAAAGGGGCTTCTGTGTCAGTTTTTTTTTTTACTTTTGTGATCAGACGAATAACAATCGAAGCCGTGAAACTAGAACTTTTGTTTGTTGAGATCAAAAATATATATATTGTTTTGGGTTGGCTGAAAAACGCCGAAAAATTCAAAAGATGTGCGGTAAATTGAAATTTTCTATTTAGGATTATTCTTCTTATCCAGATGAACTTCCTCCTAGCTTCCCCACTTCAGACTACTAAAATGTATTCATGATTACTTGGGTATCCATACAAAATTTCCTGATTCCAAAGAAAGCGAAAGCTAATGAAAACTTGTTATGAGCAATTCCACACCGATTAACTAGGAATTGGCACTTTTCTCTTTCCGCTCACACCTGATTGGAAAATAAAAGAAAAGGGGCGAAATTGGATTGTTATGCTGATAATATTCTTCAAGGAAATCAAAGGAGAAATAGAGACAAATATGGGGGGAAGTAATTGGAAAAATAAATGGGAGATTATTGGGAAAATGCGTCAATCTGGAAGAAGGCGTTGACTGGAAAATATTAATATGGAAGGGGAAAATATTCGGGGATAAGTCCCTTAACTTTATCTTACCCATTATTCGGTACCGTAATTAAAAGACTGCTGACTAGTCTTTGGGTCAAGATTTGACTTAAAAATCTTTACTATTAACAATCACCAAATTCTGTGTGTGTGTGAGTGTGTCCGGTGTTTCCGGTTCCACAACCCTAGCGAAGTCCCCAGTAGACCAAAAACTTTCAAATTTTCACAGATGATCCAAAATAGCAGCGAGATGATGCCCGTCTATTTTCAATTTCGAAAATTTGTTTCTGACGTCTTCTGGAGACGTTCTTCTATTTCTACAGTGCAAATCTTTCGAAAATAATATTTACGTCATTCGTTCAAAGAGATGGAAAAAACTGAATAAACGGGGGAAATGAGAATGAGAAGAAAAATACGAGCGCGCTTACTAGAATTTCGAGTTCGCCCGGACTTCGAATTCTAAGGATATGCGAATTTTTCAATTTTTC